CCAGTGATCCAAGTATGGAATCCGTTACATCGAATTGGCAGTGCAGTGCCTTTATAAGTGTATAAAAGGGGAAATCGAATGCTAGAAATAAATAAGCATTCAGTATTATGTGATTTCGATCTGTGATCAAGTGACGATTAAAGAATAGCTCAAGATTGTTGAGAGATCCAATAATGAAAGAAACCTGAAGATTAGAGGAACTGATATTATACAGAAACAAGCTTGAAATAAATCAGATGACTAGTGTAACTAAGCTTGTGCTGAAATTTTAATGTGAGTGCACTTCAGTGAGCTTTTTTCCTTTTGTGAATCTGAAGGTTCAGAGTTCGCGTCCCGTTTCTCAAGCACCCACTCCGCATTATGGCACTATAAGAGTGACAGTTGTATTCTGCTATTGCGCGAGAGAAAAAGCTCAAGAGTTGGCGGTGGGTGCTCTTGAGTAGCTCCTTTCCCCTAGTATATTACTTCAAAGTGTGTAGCTTTTTGCAAATATTTTAAAGTAAGTTAAACCCAATAACATCTTACGAAGTTTGACTAAGTTTAGATTAACCCATAGGGCACTTGTTCCCCATATGCTTTTAATTAGAATACGTTTGTATAAGAACTCTTTGCATGCAACGTAGTCCTATAATCTCCTTCAAAATATACATATATAGATCTTAATTTTGTAGCTAGTAAGTTGCATCCGTAAGTCAAGTTCTTAGTTTCACTGAGAAAGGTTGCATGAAATGTTTTTTTGCTGGCGTCTTCTACACTAAAGAAAACATTAAACTGTTACATGAGAAGTGTTCTCTTAAAGCTTCTTATAGCCTTTACTCTACGTAAGACATGCTAACCAATATTCTTGCAGATTGGGCAGTTTGTCTCTCCTGTAACCTCATACCAGTAGTAAGCACGCTGCATACTTAATTTTGTTTTCTTTTTGTGTGTATATGCGTTTTGTTTCTGACACCAAAACACGATCCTAAGCAAACAGTAATTACTTTATATTTTCGTGGTTTTTAAAATATATTTTACTATTTAAAAAGTTACATTGTAGGATTAGTAGATTGCTGTCTATGTTACCAGTCGTAAAATATTAGTATCACATTTGTATGGTGACTTTAAAAGACCAATTAACTTATCTGTTCAATACTGTAATGCTCTAATAATACACTGAAAGGTTATACCTAAACGTTTTTAATATATTAAACTTTCTTTCCTGTCGTGCGTTAATGATAAGGATAGTTTTATGAGAACTACGTAGTTACACCAGTAAACTCAATTCATCTATTATTGAGCGTGCGAGAATGATTCCCAAAGGTTCTAAATCGCAGGGTGTCCGAAAGCTATGTTAAATTAATTTAGGCTTACTTCTGAATGTTCGAAGTATTAGAATGCACAATGTACAGACCTAACACAATCACCGATATTTTTACGTTGGTCTAATGGAATGCTAGAAAACATTGTAGCAGATCATCAGTACTCCTACCTCTGACACATAAGCAAACACTTTAGTTAACCTAATTTTTGGATACCCTGTATTCTCGAACAACTAATTTTGTAGTAATGGACTGGAGGGAAGGCAGCTAGTCAACAGCACCAACCACCAACTCTTGGGTTACTCTTTACAGATCGAATAGTGGGATTTGACAGTCGTTCTTATAACGCACCTACGGCCCTAAGGTGAAAAGCACGATGTTTTTGTATGTGTGTGGTAAAGGGACACGAATCACAGAACCTCAGCTCCAGGAGCTGCGCTCAGCACTCTATATATAATAACTGCAACAAAGTTTTTGAATCTCAATTTATATGTAAAATTAATATAGACTTTTATGTTTTTCAAATAATTTTTGGAAGCTAAGAATTTATCAGTAAATATAAGTTATGTTAATATTGCTTATACAAAAACAATTCTTCATGATGAAGATGATCGACAAAATATTAATACATTTTATATCAAAAGCTACGAAAATAAACTCCTTCTGTTGTCCATTACTGAACACCGTATATGTGCAATATATATATACTTTAAAAATTCCATTGAAAATTTTACAAATCACAATGAGACTCTAATGTTTGTAGCTTAATGGTCACAAATCTAAAGATGATGATGAGACCACCCTTAGAAGCGGCCATTGAGAAAGCTGAGACCAGTACTTGTGTTTAGACATAAGCTCCCGGGTTATGTCGGCGACGGCTCGCTGAACTGTCGGGCTGTCTCTCTATGACGAATGTTGTCGCCAGCCGTAACCTCATAGTGCACAGTGGATAGAAGTGGACCGTGTTTCCCAGACTCTCGTTATTGATGGCTGAAAAAAAAAAAACCACTAAGAATAACGATCAAAGCGAAACATGCGAAAATTTAATTAATATTAAAACAGTAGAATCTTAATGCAGAATGTGTTTGCTTGTTTTTAAAAGCAAAGATGCAAAATTGTTTGTCTGCACTGTGTCCACTACAAGGGTCTAACCCCGAATTTTAACGTTATAAGCAATCAAGCTTACCGCTGAGCCATCAGGAGGGTACATATTGCCTCGAAGCCATTTTCACAGCCAATTTAACCCATGTTTGTAATCATTTCTGGATATCAACTGTTATAAAATCCTTTATCTTATACTCCTGGAAAAATTCTCAAGAAATACCATGTATTTGGTAGTCGTTAATTGTATGTAAAGACTCAAGGTAAGTTTTTCAAATCGCATTATCTACAGGTGAGCTTAGTCTCATTTATTTTAAAACTTATTTATCACCATCAACGATGTAGACTTTAATTTGTAGAAGAGAACTATGCAACATGAATAAACAGAAATAATCATTTTTCTGATTGTTGCTACAATATTCTTTTCATACATATTCCTTTGAACTACGTGTGCGGAACGTTCCGAGTGCTACAGAAATCCATTTTGCAGTTAATAATAGTTTTACCCAATCCACTGATGTATTGTTAATACCAGTTTCATCATTGTTCTCTCTCTCTCTCTCAGATTAATAAGGTGGTGAATTTTTTATGTCACATTAATTTGTCAAAGTACCAAGAATAATTTTTGCCATTACAGTGCTTTATTTAATGTTTAAGCATGATCTTAATGGGAAGTGAGAAAAGCAGCTACCTCTTGTGTTCGACTCTTAATATAATTCAAGTCTTTCTAGTCAGTAAATGGAGAAATGAGATTTATTGGGTGTGTAACCTTGAGCTTCAAATAAATATATAAGAAACATGTTGAAATAAATAATATAAACTCCTTAGTCAAAGAATTTTAAATGTCTTGTGGTCATCAACAGACAAGAAAGAATACTTGCCAAACGAACGATACTCGGGACAAACCTAGCCAACAGGCATATTGAAACTAAATACGAACGATACTCGGGACAAACCTAGCCAACAGGCATATTGAAAATAAATACGAACGATACTCGGGACAAACTAGCCAACATGCATATTGAAAATAAATACGAACGATACTCGGGACAAACCTAGCCAACATGCATATTGAAAATAAATACAAACGATAGTCGGGACAAACCTAGCCAACATGCATATTGAAAATAAATATCTATAGCTATGTTTCTTGTAGTACCTGAACACGAATCTAGACAACTTCTAAGTATTCGAAATGTAAGAGTCTTAGAAATTACACTTTAAGCAGGCAGGAACGAACTTAATACCTTTCAGTGTTTAAATCTGAATTCAGTTTCATTTATTAGTATTCAAATTTTCTAAACTCATACGAACACCAGATTCTTTTAGATTCGTTTTAGAGAACATTTGAAAATGAACTACAAATTCTGAAGTTCTCTGCCTACCTGAAAAGACCAGCGTTAAAAAAAATATATCAGCAACATCTTGAAACTGATTTCCACAAGTAATTTGTCTTTGATTCGCAAAAAAAAAATCATTGTGATTATGGTGATTTTGACAAAACATCATTGCTACATAAACAACAAATATCATTTTACACTCAACTGTAAAGTAAGCTTAATTTAAATAAATGATGATAGTACATTAGATTATTTATAAAAAGTAACATAAATAGATATAATTCAATTAAAATTGAAAGTTATTTTTTGTCATTATAAACGATATTTAAATTTAATAAATTAAGCGTACACAAACATATCAAAACATGGGCAAATCACTTGCCGTATTTTGAGGTCATAGCATGTGTTAATAGAATTATGCGCTAAGAAGGAATTTAACTACCAATATATCCTTGGCAAAGCAGTTAATACCACGTAAAGATGCACTTTTACATATAATCTGTGTTTGAAAAATCAAGAAGTATCTTTAGTTTAGTGGCTGTAGTTGAGTTAGAAAGTAGGCATTGGGTGTAGCTGTAAAGTTGGAGGCGTTCCGTTCATGAATGTCCTCCCTTCATCACCAGCAAAAAACCCGACAGTTTTAACTGTTAACATTAGGACACAGTTGCCAATTAAGTTGGAGATAACAAGACAGCTAAGATTACGAGCTCTAGAGAAGTACTTGGAGCGGAATGATTAATTACTATGCAGAAGCGGTTTTAAATTGCTTAGAGTCGGGAAAGAACTAGCTTCGTTGAGCCTGTTTAAAATAGTATCCTAATGGTCTTCGATGTGACGCGAACGAATTAATAAATTTCCCTGTTTATGATTCCAATTCCCCGACAGCAGACACTCGATGCCAAGTGTGGTGATGGGGCGATGTGCTTGCTGTTCCGTTTCCGGCCCCCAAGAAGCTAACGAGCCGTCCTAAGCAACGTCGCAAATAGGCCCCCACTTAATTGCCCATTTCATATCGCAGCAGGTCATTAAACACTTCTTAAAATCAATTCATCAGTCGCCAAATGTCAGCGTGGTTGCCAGCAGAGGCCAATGGCAAATAGGCTAAGTGCTACCAGATATAGTTGAAGACTCCAAATGTATAACTACCACTAAGAGGCAGGACCAACTCTTGGGAGGAGCCGGGGAGGTGATAATGTCACGGGGACGTTAAGCTTTGAGTCATGGTTAGACAAACAGTTCAGAAACGAGAAGAATCTTCAAGCCTAACAGTACAGTTGACATGATCAGCAGTGACAGAATGGACTAAAGTGAATAAAAGACACCCTTTTTTTTAGAGTCATTGATACTCTGTGGTTACCTGTTCTAGCAAGACAAAGGATGAGTACTGACCGTACAGAAGAACAAAGTAGTGGGAAGAGCACCATCAAATCTTCTCCACCGATGGCCTCAGAGTTTTTTATAGAAAACTTACTTTCTAGACAGCCTACGACGAACTCAAACCAAGCTTGGGCAATGGTCAATCGAAGCAACTCGACTTGTAGCACACTTCCCATAGTGTCAGAAGAACGTGAAACATTTAATGTAAGTAATACTTGTTCAACATCGTCCACACAACATGCCTGGCTACAAAACCCCACCTGTGCTGACCGTTGGTCAGCTGAAGTCACGGTTATCCCTGATAGTAGCCCCTTAGCTACTGTTCATGACGAAGATTCAGAGACTGACACTCGCGAGGATTTAGAGAACTGCCACGTGGATAGCCAATCTGAAAGCGAGGGTATGTTCGTTTTAAAAGTCCATAATGTTCAGAATAAATAATCTTCTCGGATTCACTGAAATGTATATATCATTTGAAATTCTATAATGATAATTTTACTCTCAAATGAAATAATTTTCCCTAGCATTTATTGAAAATGAAACATGACTTATCAATGTGTGGACATAAAATTTAGTAAATTAGTTTGACAATCATCGAAAGTTTGAAAGTAAAAATCTAATAATTGATTTAAGATCCAACAATCAAGCGGAATGACATAAAAACATCACATTAATCTGCAAATGGGGTTTTAAAAGTCACAGTATTTTTCGCATCGACTTTGTCAACTTTGGATTGTCAGTACTGGGAGAAACAAGACCACATTATGTAAATCTCTCAACCGTTTTACCATAGACTAAATTAAATTGTTACTTCTTATTTGTATAACCTTCATATTTTGATTATGTAAATTCGTCTTTAAAAAAAGAAAAAAATCACAGTACAGTGTATATCCAGTTAGGGTGTATTCTGAATTCGGTGTTTAATTATTTTTAATAGTTATAGTGTCTGTAATAATTTATCTTTGTCCTTTAATCTGATAATAGATTTGGTCTTTTCTTTATAAACTTGGTCCTTTTTCTTGTACTTCGATGAGTGGCAAGTAAACTAAATGTTGAAACATTTTTTCTAATAAAGTAGCTGAGATCATACAGAACATACTAAAACAAACTGAAATAAGATAATGATTAAAATTGCAGGTTAGATTACTCATAATATTCAATGACAGCTGATAAGCTATGGGCAGTCTTCGAATGTCACATCAACGTCTGGTTTTCGTCATGACAAACGAGTCATGATCTGTTTCAGTTGGGTTTTTTCGTCGTCCATATAACGAGCGAATAATCAATAAGCTTTCTTTTTCTTATAAAAGCTATAATGATCATAAGATTTTTTTTTATATTTGGAAATTACAATCAGTATTAAGCCACGTTGTTAGAAAAGAACTCAAAACTCTAAGTTTGCGTAGCATTCTTGTCAGTTTCCTGTTATATTAAGAGAAGAAAATATCAATATAAACTTTGATGATTGATGATTAAACAGTAGTTTGTTTGATAAGTTACTAATTAAATAATTTAGAAGTAGCTAAAACGTGCTTTTCATTAACGCGTTTCAGTGAATGTTCATATTCATTAATAATGGTTATTAGACTGCTTTTGAAATCTGCGTACATTTACTAAAACCTACAACCCCCAACAATACGCAGAGCTATAGTGACATTTGCAATCTTTAACAAGAAGTAAAGCTATAGTGGCTTTTGCAGTCTAGAAGTAAAATTATAGTGACATCTTCAACAAGATACAAAGTAATAACATAACGTCATATGTAATATTCAACAAGATAAAAGTTATCAATCTCTCGATGAAAGGATGATCCTCTTAGCATCATCGTTAAATAATGTAAATAATAAAACATAATCTATTTTCTGTTCGTAATAGTTCTAAGTTTATAATAATAAATCGGCAGAGCAATACACGACAAAACGCCTGCAAAAGCATATGAAAAATGTTTGAAACATAAAACTAGGTGCTAGTTAAAAGAAAATTATAAGATTGATAATTGTAAGTTACATTTATCGTCTCCTCTGTTAAGTTTCAGCAACTAGTCCTCATTGTGGTTGATCTTACGATCTAGAGAATCAAAAATATATATCGTTAAGTTTAAAGTATTAGCCATAAGGATCAAGCCACTTGGTTAAAGTAACAAGATATGAAATATTTTTATATTCTTTACTCCAAATTAAGACAGTATAAAAAACACTTGTACTGAAGCACAAAACATATGAATATCACGATTATGTTTTAAAAGGGAAGCACCGCTATTAGTCAGATTTCTATGAAAGTATTGATATTGACTCACCGCTGGTCTTTAACTATGTGACTAAAACTTCACTTTAAGATATGCAAAATACACAGAAATTTTTATTTTCTTTGATTACAAGCTTATAATAACTATAATTATAAAACATTATATGTTCATCTTCTGGTTGTTAGTGATATTCAGATTTTAGATAAAGATGTTAATTAATCATATCAAAAATGTTGATTTAAACTTGCGCATTAGTTAAAAATGTATTTTATGAGCTTGAATATTTCTAAAGATTTTAGATTGACTAACTCCAAGTTTATTACTATGAACATGCTAAACAAAACTATTTTTATATATAACCATAGAATAAGACATAAAATAACCTGAAGGCTTAAACGCCCAAACCTTGAACTTTCTCAAGATAAATTTTGTAAGTATTACCCAGTTGTTATTTAACTAACGTGACTGTATCAGAGCAGTCATGAATAACCGAGAAACCGAGTACAGTTCTATGTGGTTCCGTCCTTAGGGTTTTCGACAAAAGTGTTGTTTTTAGCCTAATCTTCAGTAAAATCACTATAACTACTACATAAATTGGGTATACATCAATTTTAGCCTAAATACTTTAGCCTATTTATCACGAACCACTATGACAGTTGAAAAATCAATGTTTCGTTCTAATGCTTCTCGTAAAGAAACAATAAAAACACGCCAAAACAATTTATAAACATATAAGAACCTGTATTCAAGTGCAAATATTTATAATTCCTGCTTGTTTATGATTTGAAAATAGAATAGATTTTGAAGTTCTGGTTACCTACCGGAATATAATGTTTCAGTGCTGTTATTGTTGCTATACTTCCAAACATCGTATAACTTATACGCGCTTAACAATTCATCTGTAATCTATATAATTTTCTTGTTCGAAAACATTGTTTCATACAGTTGTGTGTAATACTACAATCTCTGTATACTAAAATTTTCGTTTGTCTGTAAGCTATTTTACATTAACTAAAATTGAGGTGTATTCAACAACGGGAACTGTTGGCCGATTAAGCTGTTTGTGATCGTGTTTGTCAAATAACCGCTGAAGATCCATAAACAAAAGCTAAAGGTCCCCCACGAGGATTCGATGGATGTATATCCTGACGATAAGCTAAAGCAATGACAGACATAATCAAAACATCACGAGTGAAAAAATAAACTACATGATTGAAGAACAATGAGGCAAATAACAAATAAAACTAAAAGATGTATAATGCGGTCTATTATGTAGCAATGCAATAATATATATATTGAACTTTTACTACTTTATAGTGTAACGTGATCTGTTGTTAAAAAAACCCACTGTTTAGAATACTATACGCACCATGTTGCTCTCAACGTTTCGTTACGATAACAGTAGCTAACTTCGTACTTAAACAAACTTTGTAACTTTTAAATTTGTTTATGAATAAGCATTTGGAGCAAAACTAACTTTTACTTTTAAATCCACTAGCTTCGTAAACAAGATGAAGCATCAAGTATACAAAGATTCACCACGGTTTGATTTTAGAGCTTAGTAAAAATATCAAATTTCAATTTTTAAAGCTATACATCTGGTAGACGAGGTGAAACACCAAGTTCTAATATTTGTAAACGAGAGGAAACATTATTATTTGAAGTTTTGAGTCTAGTAAACGAGAAGAAGCATCAAGTTTTACTTTTTTGAGCTTAGTAAAAGAGATGGAACATCAAGTAAATAGTTTTTACTTGGTTTCTCACCAGAAGTTTCGTAACGGTTAGTGACAAAACTCAAAGAACCAAATTTGTAATTATTTCGGCACAATCTGGAACAAGTTACTCATTATAATAATATACTTTCCGTGAGATTTAGCAAGTCGTTACTGCTATTAAGCTGGGGTTTACAACTAGTGTTTTTAGGTAAGCCGTTATTAAAGGCCCAAATTTGAGAAAAGATGTCATTGCACATGAACTTTGAAAATACCATTTATATAATAACCGGTCCAAATACGGTATTTGAAAGTTAAAACTTAAGCCTGACCTTGCTGGGTATGATAAAACTACATAAGAATAATGTATTTTTTTCTAGATTTATTTTACATAAAAACTATTTATATATTACATTTGCTGTAAAGTTAATGACAATAATAGTTAGCTTTTTTAATAATATGATAACAATTATGGATGTGTCATGTACACATATTTAATTTTGTTTCGTAACATAAGTGTAGCATTCGATTGTGAAAAAGGTTATATAATCTCTTATTAAGTTATAGGAAATATAATTATTTTTCCCTGTGTAAAAGATAGATGAACAATAAAAATATGCAAAACAGGAAACCACAGTCAACATAATGTCGCTGTGGAACGACATGTATCAGAACTACATTTTAACATTGTTTGGTGTTTTGTAGGTGGCATAATGTTACCGAAACTTAATCGCTTTTGGGAAGGGTATATAACCCCCCTTTTGACACAAAATGTTTATACATTCAGATCATTAAGATATGTTCAGAATTTACAAGAATTTATCCATTGTACTTAATTTCATTGGAAAACAAAGAAATATAGATCGACTTGAAACACCAGGACCATCCAGAAAGAGATCTTCAAGAGGATGCATACCAGCCATGGTAAACAAAATAAGGAGTCTTGTAACGCATGAGCATCCACGAACAAAAACATCAATAGTAAAAACCGTCTACGTGCCCCAAGCCACAGCAAACAACATAATCAAGAAGAATCTGCGTTTGGAAACGAGACCAAAGGGCATAAGTTCTAAAAGATAAGGCTTTCAAACATGCCTTCTCATTCAGCCATCGTATACCTTAAGCAAACTGAGAATGAAACGAGTATTAAATGCTATTCCGTGTGAAGACATACAAGAAAAGCAGCCTATGTATTTTTGTGCAATCAAACTGTTGAGAGGCACTGAGAAACTGTCTTCCTAGTACATCAGATAGATTATAAAAAGTATGCAGGGAGGTGATGTGTGTTTTGAACATGACAGCCTTACCGTGAATTATTTTGTAATAGAAACTACGCTGCAGGTCTATTGTCAAGAATCGCGGTTGTCAGATAGAGCATTACCGGACGTGACGACATTGACTGTAAAGACATAATGAGGCTCAAAAATCGTTTTAATATTACGA